TGCCCAATAGAACTCCATACTGATCAGGGGAAGAACGTGGACGGAAATGTCATCAATACACAGGTACTGTCGGGGTGACGTCATAAGATGGCGATCTGCATTGTCCTAATCTGACCAGCTCCACCAAGAAATGCTGTGTTATACATCTGTGTGTGTTCTAGACGGTGGGTACATATCTGTCATTTTGACAGCGTGCTAATTAATCTTCTTGACATAATGCTATCTTCACTCCGATTATACCCACCCATGAAGAGACGTTTATGTTTTTGTCAACCGACTCGTCACTGTCCTTTGTTCGAAAACTTCAGCCATCTTGGTTTACATGTCTTTGTATAGGTCATATACATAGACCACTAAACACGTTCTAGTATTTTTCGTATTTGGTCATTCTACTCTAACTACATAAGGTCGGCTTCAAGGACCACCCCGTCAGGCCCAGCTAAAAGGAAGTCTCCGGACTCAGTGTCCCCCAGGCTTACTGACCACCCAACCCATAGAAGGCGGAATTCATTCTTGGGGGTACCTTCCTCTATGGAGGAGGGCCAGCCACTCCAACTTGATGTAGGCAAAGGCAAGATTATAGACCTTACCAGCTTGATGCATTCCCCCCTATCCAGTCCTTCATTTGTATCCAGTATAGCACCTGCATGGGCTGAGGCGTGCATACCCCACCTCCGTGAAACTTTCCAGACTATTGTTCGCGATACTATGGCAGACATGAGTATACCGCTACAGCAGACGATACATGACCAGGCCACTGCAATCAATGAACTTAAGACATTAAACGAATCCTTGTCATCCAAATGCTCAACTCTTGAGAATCAGGTTAGCTCCCTAGCGTTCCAAGTCGGGGAGCTTGAGCAGTACGGTAGGAGTAACACCCTCAGATTTCATAACATTCAGTTATCTAGAGAGCAACAACGTTTCACTGACCCAGTCATTATTGACATCTGTAAATCTCAGCTAAATGTTGAACTATGCCCTGAAATTATTTATAGGTCTCATGTAATTGGGAAGCCCACTAGCGAAGGGAAACATCAAATTATATGCCGGTTTAGCAGCTGAAATCTTAAAAACTCTGTATTCAAAAATAAAAAAACGCTTAAAAAATAACCCGTCTAAACTCTTCATTACCGAATACCTGACCAAAGCTAGGCAAGCGATAGTTAAGGATCTTAAACAAGCCGAATGGACCAAGTCCATTGATTCTTACTGGACCAGCGATGGGAGAATTTTCTTCAAACGATCGAGAGACTCGGAAAAAATCCTAATCAAAAACATTCACCATCTGCACTTCCATCATTCCAACTCTTCACAATGACTCCTCTGCATGATCAGTACTGAAGTACTCTCAGTACTTTGATTTAGTGTATCGCGTCCTGCAACCAGCATCAGCAACATCTTCATCAGCACCGTCTATATCTTCTGCAACTTTCTCCGCTCGAATAACCTCACTGTTGACTGAAAATGTCACGTACGTTCAAGATGTGTGTACTATTATCACTTAACGTGATGATCCAGTATCCTTTTTATCGATCCATATACATAGTTAATCCTTTAGAGATATTCATATCCTTGTATCGTAATGCAAACTTACCATTATATTGGACATCAATATGGTTGTATTGCATACAGAATGATGTTATTTATTGTTAGATATTTAAAAAGAATTTAAAAAAGTGTCATTCGTTTGATATCTAAGGCAAGTATCATCAGTTTCATATATATATTGCTTGATATCCAAAACACATATCATTTATTGTTTTATAACCAAAATAAGTATCATATAATGTTTGATACCCAAATTAAGTATCATTTCTGGCCTGATAATAAAAACGAATATAATTTATTATTTTATATATCAAAACAGGGATCATTTGTTTGATATCAGAACTAATAGCATTTATTGTTTGATATCTAAAACTGATATAACTTATTGTTTGATATCTAAAACATATATAATTTATTGTTTGATATCCAAAACAAGTATCATTTATTGTTTTGATTTCTAAAACAAGTATTATTTATTGGTTCGATATCTAAAACAAGTATTATTTATTGTTTGATATCCAAAATAAGTATAACGTATTGTTTGATAACCAAAACAAGTATTACTCATTGTTTGATATCCAAAACAAGTATTATTTATTGTTTGAGATCCAAAATAAGTATAATTTGTTGTTTAATAACCAAAATAAATATAATTTATTGTTTGATATCCAACAATAAATATCATTTATTGTTTGCTAACCTAAACAAGTAATATGCATTGTATCATCTATTGTTTGATATCCAAAACAAGTATTATTCATTGTTTGATATCTAAAACAAGTATTATTCATTGTTTGATATCTAAAACAAGTATTATTCATTGTTTGCTCTCAAAAACAAGTACTATTTATTGTTTGATATCCAAAATAGGTATCAAGTATTGTTTGATATCCAAAAGAAGTAATATGTGTTGTTTTGAATCTTCAAATAATTATCCTGTGTTGATTGTCAAGAACCACAATTCCAGATATCCTGTGATGATTGATATCTCAAATCAAGTATCCTATGATGGTTGATATCACAGAAGACAACTATATTGTTTTCACTGATATCACTAAAACAGGTAGCCTGTCTTGATTGATATCCGTATGATTCACGTGTCTCCCCAATAAATGCCTACGTTGTTACCCATGCCTTCTTTCGTTTTACCTATGATCAGATGATATGGTCTATGTGTAACCCTCTACGTAGTCTGATTCTGTCTACCTTGTCAATATAAGCTATCTAAAGTGTCTACCTATAGTACCCTACCCTGTGTTGTTTGTGTACCAATTGTACACATTTGTATAATCAGTTTGTGCCAAGCTGACTTGTATATAATTAATGACTATGTTATTCATATAGTTATACCATGCTGAAAATGTAAATAGTTTTCCCATTTTTCTATACATTGTCATTATATACAAAATTATCATAATCTGTCGGTCTATCTACCTAACACTCAGTTTAACACTTACTCTTCTTTATAGCAGCAGGAACATCCTTCGGTTCTCCATCTATGTTTTCTTTTATTTACCTTTCCTGTTTACTATTCCCCCTTCCCTTCCCACTTCCCTCTTGTTTACTTCTGTGTGACCTTCACCTCGAGTCCGATTGTACTATTGGACAGGTGTATACGCAGGTGTAAACAATGGTTTATCTTACTTTTGGACCAGTGATACTATAAATGGTAATATGTACAAAGTAGTAGAACAACGATTTAAAGATTGTTACGCCCAGGAAATGAGAGCAAGAATTATAAATGCTGCCAGAGGTGACCTATACAAACATCTAATTGATCATTTTTGCATGCAATATTATTTACTGAAACCTATTGATAATATATATAAAACATCTATAGCCAATATTAGATTGTCATCACACCAGTTAAAAATCGAAAATGGCCGCTATCACAACATTGATAGGAGACGCAGAATATGTGAATGTTGCCAAAGTTTTAAAATTGAAGATGAGTTCCATTTTATACTGCAATGTCCATTTTATATAGAAATTAGACTAAGGTATATTAAAGGTATTATTATAAATCACCAAGCGTTTTCAAACTTGTGCAACTGTTAAGTATAAATAATGTTAAGGAACTAAATAATCTTGGAAAATATATTCATTTTGCCTTTAAGAAAAGAAAAACGCACTTTGGCTAAAAGTGAATATTATCGTTAAATACCTCACATATGTATTTCAGGTATATTTCGAATTCCAAGAAAAGCATGTCATCGATGAAAACGAATTATTACTTTTACTTCTGTCTGTCTGTATAACAGAAGTATGATTGCTGATGTTGTACAACATATATTTAATACTAAACTTAATCAATAAGTGATGCATAAGTGGTAGATTGACTCAGCACTAATGTAATCCCATTCAAGGTAACATTGGCTCATCTCTGTCAGTATGTGTTTGTTAAGTTAAATTTAACTTAAGTTAATTTTTCTTGTACTATTATGTTTATGATGTATTTTATACATACATGTTTATGTTACTTTCTGTGTTCGGTATGCTTGTCATGCGAGATCACTCTCCAAATACGTATGCAATAGGTATGTTTTGTAACCATGTATACCTTGGCATTCTGTCGTTAAGTAAAGAAAAACATACTTTGGCTAAAAGCGAATGTTATCGTTAAACACCTTTCATATGTATTTCATGTATCATTTCGAATGCAAAGTAAAGCATGCATATACTGAAAAATAATTATTACTTATACTTCTGTGTGTGTGTGTATGTCTGTCTGTCTGTCTGTGTGTGTGTGTGTGTGTGTGTGTGTGTGTGTCTGTCTGTCTGTATAATACAAGTATTATTGCTAATGGTGTCAAATGTATATTCATTAAACTTAGTAATAATTGGTAGATTGACTCGGCATTTATGTAATCGCAATCAAGATAATATTGCCACGGAGTTACCTCCCGTCTCTGTCAGTATGTTGTTTGTTACTTTCTGTGTTCTGTATGCATGTCATGAGAGATCACTCTCCAAATATGTATGTTATATTATGTATTATATTTATGTATGCCTATGGGTCGTAAGGCCCCCGGAATAAACTTGAATTGAATTGAATTGAATGTTCTTTGCCGATAGCCACCCAACCATGACCGTTCTTGATAATGGGTAACGATATAGTAGCACACAGGGTGGCGGTCGGCAATTTCTACATGCGTACACACCGTAACCACTCGAGCTAATCTTCAATATTTAAAATTAATTTAAATTTCGTATTTGATGAATTTAGAAATCTATTTGAAATCCTTCTTCTTACATTTAAGACCACGCAATACAGTATTCTCTTTTATGTTATTCATAGCTAGTTCAGTAACACTAATTTCATCCTTATCCTCCATCTTTTATTATTGATTTGCATGGACATACATGAAAACCTTGGGCCTGATGTATCTTCCGATGAATTAACAATTTTCAATTTAAATATACGTAGTTTACGAAATAAGCTAACTCACCTTGAAAATATTGCAGACGAATTTCACGTAGTATGTATCACGGAATCCCACTTAGACAACAGTATATCTGACGAAGAAATAGCACTTCCAGCTTTTAATAATAATCCCTTCCGGAAAGACCGTGAATATTCACAGGGTGGGGGTGTCGTTGTTTAGATTTCGCCTTTAATCTCTGCCCAGCGGCGTTTTGATTTAGAATTTCCATCAGGTGAGGCCATCTGGGTCGAAATTATTTTTAATAACTCCTCGTATCTTCTATGTACAGTATATAGACCAAATGACTGTGTAAATCCATTTTGGGAACAATTTGAAAACTCCATTGAAAATGCACTTGATGAAAACCCACATGTCATTATAGTTGGTGACATAAACGTTGAAACTCGTCATAAACTGAACGACATTATCCGCACGTATCTGTTTTCTAATGTAATAAACCAAACAAATCGGGTAGGCCCAAACAAGTGCTTCGCTCCTTGACCCCGTGCTCGTGAGCGATATGTGCGTTGTTGGTTTTTCCGATGTTATTGAAATTGACAGGGACATTTCCGACCATGACGCTACTCTCGTTGAAATTAAACTAAACATTTCTCTTACTAACAAATTTAAACGCATGATTTGGTGTTATAAAAATGCTGACTATCCTAAATTTAATAACCTGTTACAAAACACCGATTGGCAATACGTATTTAGGAATGTTTTTTTACAGATAAGTATTTGGAATATGCCCATCTTTGTATTCCAACTAAGGTTATTACTGTTAGACCGAATGATAAACCGTGGTTTACTACTGAAATACGTCGTGAAATTAGGATTAGAAATAGATTGCATAAAAAAATAAAAGTTATAAGAGTTTTTTCTGTAGAGAATTTAGCTAAATTTTAAAAAACATAGAAACAATGTCAACGATCTCAAACGTAGGACAAAAGAACATTTTTATGCTGATATTAATGGACTTTAAGATAATTATGCAAAAACTAATCAAAAGAATTTTTGGAAACTGGTTCGGAGATTAACTAAAATTGCAGATGTATCTTACATTATACCTCCTCTAAAAGACCCTATTACTAATTCTACTGCAGTAGATGATGAACGGAAAGCTAATATTTTAAATGACTATTTTGTGTCTATCTCTACTATAGACGACTCAGGTGTACCTCTACCACAAGTTGATATGAGAACCCAAAGTCGTATAGATAAAAAAAAATTTACACAAGCTGATATTGTTGACATCCTTAAGTCTCTAAAATTAGGTAAAGCTGTTGGATATGATAAAATTTGTCACCAAATGCTTAAAAACACAGCTCTTTATCTTTCATTTCCGCTATTTCTTATATTCAGAAAGTCTCTTGATCAAGGAATTTATCCCAATTCCTGGAAAAAAGCTTTAGTCATGCCCATTTTTAAGAAAGGTGATAAACAATGGCCCAGTTATTATAGACCAATAGCTTTATTAAGCACTGTAAGGGAAGTTTTTGAAAAAGTTATTACAAAATTTCTGCATAATTATATATTAGAAAATTCATTGTTATAGAAATACCAATCTGTATTTCAGCCATTTCACTCTACAGTGCATCAACTAATTGAAATTTATCATAATGTATGTATAAACCTAGAAAACCGTCATCATACCTGTCTTGTTTTTAGCGACATTTCCAAAGCTTTTGATCGGGTTTGGCATGCAGGTCTTGTACACAAATTAAAAAGCTATGGAATTAATGGAAATCTTTTAGACTGGCTATCCGATTATGTACAGAATCGCCATCAACAAGTCTTCATCCACAATGTTTCTTCTCATACTAAAACAACTAATGCTGGTGTATCCCAGGGTTCTGTCTTAGGTCCGCTTCTTTTTCTCTTGTATATCAACGATATAACTGATAACCTCGTCAGCCCTTCCCGTCTTTTTGCTGATGCTTCTTCCCTATCCGTCTCTTCTCCTTCCGCAATTGAACTTGAAACTACTAATAACCGAGATCTTTAAAAAAAATCATAACTGGGCAGAAAATTGGCTTGTTAAATTTAGTCCTAATAAAACTGAAGCACTACTAATTTCAAATACCAATGCTGAGCTTGATGTCAATCTTATTTTTAATAATGTTAATATTGATTTTATTGAACATCTTAAACATCTAGGGATTTTCCTAGATGCTAACTGTAAATGGACTCGCCATATTGATAACATTTGTAAAACTGTTAAGAAACAAATAGGAATTCTCCGCAAGTTAAAATATACTTTAAATCGCAAGACATTAAACAGAATTTATCTTACTTTTATACTCCCTCTGCTTGAATACTGTTGCGTAGTATGGGACGGTTGTACAACTGCCGATGCAAATAAACTTGAAAACTCGAGTTAGAAGCGGTGCGTATTGTCACCGGCCTGCCATCTTTTGATAGTAGAGCGTCTCTTTACTTCGAAACTGTTTGGGAAGTCTTGTCTCAACGTCGCACCCGCCGCAAACTTCAACTTTTCTACAAAATTCACAACAATATGACTCCCTCTTACCTAACTGACCTTCTCCCGCCACTAGTAGCTACTTTAACTCCTTATAATTTGAGAAACTCTGAGAACTATTCCATTCCTAATTTCCGCTTACAATCTTCACTCAACTCGTTCATACCTTCTACTTTAAGACTATGGAATGAGCTTGACACTAATATTAAAACTGCACATTCTTTTAAGAGCTTCACAAACTGCCTCAAAAAACAAAATGAAACATTTAAAGTGCCTGTTTTTTATTTAGCCGGTGACCGTAAGTTAAATATTTTACTAACCAAACTCCGTCATAAATGCAGCCCTTTAAATGATGATCTCTTTAATGTTAACCTAATCAACTCTCCTATTTGTGCATGTGGATATCCTAATGAAAATGTTCATCATTTCTTTTTTACATGCAGTATATATACTGATCAAAGATTTCAAATGTTTAGAAATCTTTATGAATACTTACCTCTAAGCTTAGAGAAATTATTATATGGCCATGAAGATTATTCGAGTGAAGAAAATAAAAAATATATTTATATATGTCCAACAGCATGTATCGAGTACTCGCAGGTTTTAAATATGGTCACGTTCTTCTGTCTCCTCTCCAAAAGTCCTCATTATCTTTCATATTCATTTCTTAGCTTGTGTCCGTATTACATGGCAAAACGTGCACTTGTGTGTTCCTTATTATTTTAGTAATCCTCTGTAATGTTTAACTTTCTTTTAAGTGCACGAGAGCGTGAATGCAAGTGTGCGTGTGCTTGAATGTATGCGAGTGAGTGTGGAGATGTGCGTTACGTTATTTCTGTAAATAGTTCCACTTACCGTTGTATATAATGTATGTAATATAGGCATGTGATGGGCCATTCAGTTACAGTCAGTGCGGAGGAAACGAATTTTCGAGAAAGGGTGGAATGAAAAGGAGAAAGCCACAAAGCACGGGACGTGACGAACTGTTGAATAGCTCAAAGTATGGAATAGTGCCAGGATATCACTGCGCTGGCTGTGCTGGCTGGTTCCATTTTCATGACAAATTTTAAAATCTACTATAATTTGTACATAAAAGTCTCTCTCTCTCTCTCTCTCAATAATAGATAAATGTAGTGATTTAAACTATGAAAGCCATCTTATGATGTGTATATACAATTATTTAATTATGTATCTTATAAGAAAAGGGCGTTTATAATGTTCATGTAACTTGTGCCAAATCCTTTTGCATTTTTTAGGCAATAAAATATGTTTAAACTAAATTAAACAAGTACTGTATTGTATGCAATCAAATGTTTGAAATGTCGTCGACCTAACATAAGGAAGACACAATGTCGTCGATTTGTCATTAAAAATATTGACATTTAAAAACAGCAGACACCAACGTTGAAGTTATTTTGTAAACATTTTCACTGATATATTTTCGTATCTTTAGACCGTAGAGGTACCACAGTCTGTACCTTTTTTTAATATAAATATTCCGGCACAGAAACTGATCACGACGTAGTGCTGTTCAATGACGACATGATTGGATAAGTTTTCAGTGTAGAGCAGAAACATATAAACAGAGACGTATAATACATACGTCTCTGATATAAATTATATACGTCTCTGTGTAGAGTAAAGAAACTGATTGCAAACTGTCTTTCCAGCTAAAATTAAGAAATATCTTTGATCGAAAACATATTTCTGTTTAATTTCCCTCAAACTCGTATATTCGAAAAAAATCTTAATCTGACGCTATATGACCTTGGCTGTTCTTGATAATCGCCTATTCCTTCGATGGTTACCGCTACATGGGTTGAACTTGTGACGTCACAGCCGATAGGGGTCAAATCACCACGAGTTACGATTATGCCAATTAGCGGAAGAAGGACAGGTCAAAATTGTACAATTAACACGTCAATATATCGGTGGCTTGTTCTCAGTTCCCCTATTTTGTAAAATAGCATGGGGTGATGACGGGAGATCCTCCATACCAAATTCAAATTCTAATTCAAATTAGTTTATTATAGTGTCACGTGTAAAAGGTACAAGTATTACGATCTCTAAAATATGTCTACTCACCCACCCTTGCATCCTGTCTATATTAGACTTACGAGACACTCACTCTTCCCCTATCATTCTAGACTGTAAAAGTATTACATATATGTACATACTTATGAATTAAAAAAATTGCCAATATAAAACTATGAAAATAATTGACATTAAAAGACATGTTACTGCTTAATTATCGATCAAGTTGCGACGGCGATTAAGAATATTAACACCGGTTTTGGCACAGGACCTCGCCAAGTAAGGGTTACAACTAACTTTCCATCTTCACTCATATTGTAAAAATCACTTGTGATTTTACTAGCCTTCTGCAATAGACCCGGTCGGAGATCATCATACAAGTTACATTCTATTACAACATGACTCTCTGTTTCTACTACGCTTTTACACGCGAAACACTTTCTTTCACTCAAATGTATTCTCTCATACCGGCCTGTTCGATGCGTATCGGTGCAACCCCACACCTAAACTTAGCTAGCGCACTACGATGTGATTTAGGCATTACTAACATATTATATTTTTTTTACCTCAAAATTAAACTTAAATAACCTATACGTACGTAGTTTGTTACCTCCAGAACTACAATTTTTGGCTCCGGGACGGTTAAGTTCCCTCTCCCAATTTTCAATAAACAATTCCAAGCCACGGACCTTAGCGTCCTTAAGTAAATTTTTACTATTAATTGGACCTGTGCTATAGTTATCCAAGCCTAGTTCCCCGAGTCTGGAAATTACCCTGAAGTTCCAATTTTTATTTCGGTGAATACCTATATGCTCGCTCCATGTAGATACAGCCTTATTCAATCTAGTATCCGACAGATTATGAAGACGACTCCAATGTCTAAAAACAGCTTGCCATTGGTTCACT